AACAAAGATTCGAGCAGAAGTGATTTATTTTGGAGGTGATCCCAGGAAACACCATAGGGAAGTAGAAAAGTGAGAGAGGGAGGGGAAGGAAGGCAAACAGGTTTAGTTAGGTCAGCTACCACTGGACATCTGTTCCTGAATCCCAAGAGGGAGGGTCAGGGAGGCTCGGGAAGCTGTGTCAAACCTGCTTGTGAGCTTCACAGGAGCTGGGGTACTTAAAGGAAAATCTTGTCAGTCATTTGTGAAATGCTGATCTATGGATGGTATTAATCCTCAGCTACTTCTTGAGGGAGATCCAGCAAAGAGAGAAAGAAAGACTTGAAACAAAAAGACCCGGGAGCTAGAGACTGGAAGTCAAGCTGGCATGCACCACAGTGTCAGGGAACAAGGGGTTCTGGGCAGGGCATCCACACCTGTAGGACAGCCGCTGCAACCGATCTTATCCCCATAGCCAATTTCAATTCACCCTTTAGGGTTCTGCCTAATTCTTGCCTCTTCTGGAAAGCTTCCGTAGACCTTCTCGCTAACTTAGCTGCCTCCTGACTGTTTCCCACTAGAACCTTTACTGACTTCCATCAGAGAATCTGTTGGCTTCTGCTCTGTTATTTTACCTGCTTTATGAGCTCCTAGACGATGGGGATTTTTAACTTGTATTTTTAAAGCCTGACAAGGTTTGTGTATGTGGTAGAGCTCAATAAGTAACAAAAGTGCTACTTTAATAATACGGCCGATATTGTGTCACAGTGAGTTAAGTTTCTACCTGTCACACCAGCATTCCATTGAGCACCAGTTCAAGTCCCAACTGCTCTATTTCCAATCCAGCTCCTTGCTAATTGCCCTGAGAAAGCAGCAGATGGCCCAAATGCCTGAGTTCATACCGTGCGTGTGGGAAACCCAGATGGAGTTCCAGGCTCCTAGCTTCACCCTGGCCCTAGCAATCTGGGGGATGAACCAGCAGATGGAAGATCTCTCTCTGTCTCTCTGCCTTTATGTAGCTCTGCCTTTTAAATAAATAAATAGTTTTAAAAAATAGTACTAATAATGACATCATTATAGCAATAATAAGTATAGAATGTTCATTATGTATATGTACTTTGCATATTTCCAACCATAGAAAGTTGAGAATTCTATTATTCCTATTTTCAAATGAAGAAACCAAGGTATAGGTCTCACATTGTTTGCCCAGGATTACATAGTTATGTATGGTTGGACCTGAAAGTAAATTTCACAGCCTAAGTCCAGATACTTAGCCACTGTGTAGATAAATTAGTCAAGGAATGGAATGAATGAATGATGATACCAACTCTTACCCTTCTACATGTAGGAGTGATTCTAAGGATGATGCTATGTCATTTTTTCCAAGAAGTCTTCCCAGCAGTCTAACTAGAAGCATAAATCCTCTTTCTGACACCTTTATAAGGCCCCTGACTGCTCTATATCACATTTTGGAATTCACAAACATGTAGTAGTTTACTTATGACTAGTAAAATTGCAGGTAATTGCTTAGGTGCCTGGTTCATCTTAGTGTTTCCTCCAGCTCCAAACCCAAAGCCTTGTATACAGTAGGCTGTCAATGAGGGTTTGCTGGATGGAAGAAAATGAAGATGTGGGTGAAAAACAAAAAAGAATTTTGACTCTTCCTTTATTTTTCCCCAGAAACCATGAAGAGCTTTTCATTCCCCTCTGAGATCCCAGAGAGTCTGTTGTCATAGAGATTGTAGATCACTGTGAAGAATAAAATTCTGTCTAAATGTTGTAAGTTCAGGGAATAATCAGTGATGAGAGATAATAATTTGCTAAGAAATTGTATTTATAAGACAAATATTCTTCCTTCTGAAATTTCATTCATAGAAAGGGTGAAAGATGTACATAATATAGACAATCACTAAATTTCTAACACATATGAATGATTAGAAAAGTTTATTTCTTGAAAGTTAACAATAGTCATTAAGAATTTCTAAAGCCTCAGATGAAAGGAATTCTTCCATTTCCACTAATATATATCTGATCTTCATCAAAAATCAACACTTAGCAGAGTGCCAGATTGAATAAATTTAAGAGATGACTAAGTTATAAAGCAGTATCTGGGAGGCAGTTGCAAATCTTCACTGAGGTCTCATTACATGCAAAGCATCGTATAGATACATAATGTCATAATATGTGTGAAATACATAGGAAACCATAGAAATGTAATCCAGCAGAAATTTCTTTATTGATTCTGCTATATAAAATGAATGGTGTCATTCGGTGTCAAAGAATGCAGAGGACCCTGAGACATGGTCTTTGTAGTCACAGAATTTAGGATCAGGAGATGTCCATAGAGAAAACATATATATGAATGAGTAATTAGACCAAGGGAGTTTTTAGTAATAATAGCTCATATTTAGTATTTAGTGACGTCTCAATAGTTATCCTAGTTCTTTACATGACATTAGCTGATCTAATCTTTGTGACGACTCTAGGTAGTAAGGTTATTAGTATCCCACTTCATAGTTGATGAACCTGAAGGTTAGGGGGATTAGACCATTTTTCCAAAATCACATGCCTAATGAATGGGTGAGTGAAGCAGCCGATAGACAGATAGACAAATTTTAAGCCCAAAACATCCTTAAATTTCCTACTCAGAAGACAGTAAAGATGGGATATGGTAAAGAGAATGTTGTTCATCCAAACTTTGGTCAAGCAGATGCTATGGTGTCTGAATGTAGCCTTGAAGGATGAGAATGAATAGAGCTGGGGAGGACAGTTGTAACTGGACTAAGACATGGATCAGGCTGAAGGGGGCTTTGAGAAAACAGAAGAAAGAGTCAGTGTGTTGTCATCCCCAGCATCAGTATAATAGAGGTGGTGAAACAAAAATACGGATGGGACCAGATATTATTGACCTTAAGTCTTCCCTGGGAAGAGTCTAGGCTCTTCTCATGACCAGAGGGCAGTCACTGAACAGTAGCAGATCAGATGAAAGCTGGATTTTAAGATTGTTCTGACAGTCACATGTAAAAGGAATGGTACTGGGAGGAGAAGAGGAGTAGTTAGGAAATTGTTACCAAACTAGCTAAGGCAAAGGATTGTTGAAAGTCTGAATTTGTACTCGACGGCAGTAATAAGAGTAGAGAGGGGGAAATGTGGAAACAAGGTAAGATTTGGCATTGACTTACACTGTATTCTATCCAGGCAGTTGTAACAATCATAGAACAACTGCAGACCAAGTGGCTTATAAATAACGGAAATTCATATGTCACAGTTTTGGAGGATCGAAGTCCAAGATCAAGGTGCTGAGAGCTGTGGTGTCTGATGAGGGCTCTCTTCCTCATAGACATCTGTTCTTCCCCTTGTGTCATCCCATGATGGAGGTGCAAAGGTTCTTTTTTGGGGCCCTTTGTTAGGACACTAATCTGTAATGTCACCACCCTATGATCTAATGACCCACAGTCTCCCATCTCCAATCACCTTAGGGATTCGGATTTACTATTTTTTTTTTTTTTGACAGGCAGAGTGGACAGTGAGAGAGAGAGACAGAGAGAAAGGTCTTCCTTTGCCGTTGGTTCACCCTCCAATGGCCGCCGCGGCTGGTGCGCTGCTGCCGGCGCACCGCGCTGATCCGATGGCAGGAGCCAGGTACTTCTCCTGGTCTCCCATGGGGTGCAGGGCCCAAGCACTTGGGCCATCCTCCACTGCCTTCCCGGGCCACAGCAGAGAGCTGGCCTGGAAGAGGGGCAACCGGGACAGAATCCGGCACCCCAACCGGGACTAGAACCCGGTGTGCCGGCACTGCAAGGTGGAGGATTAGCCTAGTGAGCCGTGGCAGGGATTCGGATTTCAACATCTGAACTTGAGGCGGGGGGGACACATTCAGATCACAGTGGTGGATGGAAGAGACATTCAAGGGGAGAGATGATAATGTGTCAAAGTTCAAACAAGCAAGTGTGTCGTCTACAAAGCAGAGGAAATCACATACCCCTCTCTAATCAGAAAGGATTATATTGGGAGATGAAGGGCGTTAAATGGGAAGGGTGCCATTGATGGGAGTCCCTGAACGTACACAGTTAATGGTTTGGATTTACATGTGCATTGAGGCAGCAATTCTCATGGTGCAATGCAGGGGATTTTATGTGTGTTGTTGGCCTACAACCAAATTATGAGGTCCACAGTTTTCTAATACTTGTGGTAAGCATGCATAACTTAACAACTGTAGAATAGAAAATGTGTCATTTGAAATCAGTGATTTTTAATTTTGAGTAATTGAAATGGCCAAAGTTATCAAATATAACTCTAATAAATAAAGCAAAGAATCATCATATAGTTCATAATATAATAATTGTTAAAAAGGAAAAGTAAAACCTAATTGTTAAGCTGCACTCTAATGGGTACATTTTCCACTCAGCATCATAGTAAAGCATTCTCTTTTCTACTGAGCTTTTCCTTTTTTTCTTTAGTTTTTGGCTTTTATGTGGCTCTATCTTGTTTTTCCTTCCATGTCGCAGGATACCACAGACTGGAGAAATTATAAACAGTAGGAGTTTATTTGGTCCATGGTTCTGGAGGCTGCTAAATCCAAAAGTGCAGTGTCAGCATTTTGTAAGGGCCTTCCTGTGCACCGTAACACGGCAAAAGGTCAAGCAACACATGTGGAGCTGACAGAGGAAGACTGAGTCAAATTCAGCTTTCTCTCCCTCTCCTCCCCTCTCCTCTCCCTCTCTCTCCCTCTCCTCTCCTCTCCTCTCCCTCTCCCTCTCCCTCTCCCTCTCCCTCTCTTTCATGAGAAACCCACTCCTGTAATACTTAACGCATGTCTGAGTTAATGGCACTGATCCACTCATGGGGATCATTCTTGATCTAACCACCTATCAAACGTCCCATCTCTTAACACTGTCACAGTGACTATTAAGTTCCAGCTGTGTTTTGTAAGGGACATTCAAGCCATAGCATTAAATGGGAGGATTCTTGTTTTTGGTATTTCCAGCTTGCATGACCTTTTCTTTGTCTTTATTTTTTAATAGATGACAATAATGAAGAAGAAGATGTTGACATGAAAGAAGATTCAGGTATTATATTCTTTATTTTATTACTTGGGGGAAAAAAGTGTAATCTTATCTGTGTTGACTTCCCATGTTTTTTCAAAATAAGGTAAATGAAATGGAAATATATGCCAAATGTCATAAAATAAGGAGGTATTGTCTTAACTCCTAAGGCTAACACTTGCTATATTATTAGTAAATGTATTAAATATCACTTTGAGTTTCCTGAGAGCTGACGTAAAAATGGAACATGATGTTGCAGTTAATAGAGCTGTGTGGAAATCACTCCCAAAAGTTTTAAGCTTAGAAGAATCACTTATTTTGCTCATGTATTCTGTGAGTGAGGCAGAGCATGGTAGAGAAAATGTAATCATTCTCTTTCTCACTATCTGGGGCCCAGCAGAAGGATTCAACAGCTAGAGAGCTGGGATGACTTGAAAACTCATTTGTTTTCCTGTCTTGACTGATACTGGCTGGCTGTCGACACCTTAGCTGGGATGATTTTCTGAAATACCCGGACACAGCCTTTTTCTTTGGCCTGGGCTTCCTCACAGCATGGTGCCCAGCTTCCAAATGAGTTTCTTTTACAAAAGTGAGTGAGCTCAGAAGGAGCTCTACCCTTCTTAAGGACCAGGCTTAGCGGTCCCATGGCATCACTTCCGCCAAACTCTGTTCTTGGAAACAGCCACAAACTCACCCAAGTCCTGGGGATATGAGAATGGACTAAGTCTCTTGGTGGGGGGTGGTTGTGTAGATTATGTAAGACCTAAATGATCACTGTGGCCATCTTTGGGAAATACACTTGCCATGTATATGCCTCCCACTGTCAGAAATTAAGGTGCATAGCAATTCCTCAAGAAAAGGACCAGTGCTAGTGAATAAACCAGTTACAAATAAACCATTCAGCTTCAAGAAATGATTTTTTAAAAGTAATTTTATTAGATACTCTCCATTCTTTTCTTTTTCTTTTACTGTTTTTGAAATTGGTGTGTATTTTTCATTCACATCTCAGTTCACATTAATCACATTTTAACTACTCATTGGCAATATTGACTAGTGGCTACTGTCATGGATAGCTCAATTCTACACCATTCCCCAGAGGTGCCCAGTAGAATTGAGACCTTGTTGCCCACAGTGGAGCTTGTTCTTTAACACACCCAGTATTGGCTTCTATCCTTTTCCTGTCCTACTTGCCTATTACTCATTTGGTTCTTCCTGGGATAATGTCTCAAATTAAATACTTACACTCAAATCCTTTTCTTGGTGTCTACTGAGAGAATCCAACCTGATTGTCTGATGGCTTTCGGTAAAACAAAGTCCCAAGGTAAAACTTCAATTAAAATGTCAGTTCCTAAACTCACATACAATGTCTTACTGTGAAAAAGGACCGTATGTTGAAAAAAAGACTTTAAATGGTCACGCTTTCTTGGATTAATACCTATGAATTTAATGCTTGCTGTTCTCGTCTGTTCTCATTCATCGATCTCTCATGAAGTGTCCTTGGAATATCCTTCAGCTGTCGGGGATTCTGCCCTTTTATCCATCCAGTGTAAAGATCTTATCTTGCCATGGGTCATTTGTCTAAGTGCTGTAAGTGCGCATTTCTAGGCAAAGGGAGTTGACTTCTTAATGTGATCCTGCTAAGTATCCAACTTACTGAGTGATTTTAAGGAAATGATTATTAATGCTAATGCAGAGTCTACAAGGTTGGAATCAGCATTTGAGGTTTCTGGGCATTAATTGGATCATCATTCTGATTCTAGTCTCACTAGGTTTCCTGAGAGTGTCATCTCCCACAGCTGGATACAGATGTTCAAATCACACTCAAGGGGCCAAGGTTTCTTGGCCACTCGGGCAGAATGAGCGTGGGAAGCTACTCTTGTTTGCTAACATTTGAGTGCTGAAATCATGTGGGTTTGTGTGCTGGATAGATCCATGGTGTGCAGCTGGCCTTGACAGACATTGCTGTGTGACTGGCTTCATTCAGATCTCATAGACTAAAGCATATTGGTCTCCAAGATGAGTCTGAGTCAGCCTTCCCAGACCATTACCTGCTGCCCTCCCCCTCCCCACATCACCTCCTCTCACACCACCAAAAGAGCTGGAGCAACTTTTAAGAATGCAATTGAAACTTGCAAAGGCCTGCTTAAGTGACTCACCTGCCAAAACATGCTGTTGAGTAATAATGAATAATGAATAATTGCTTGAATACCTAAATCCAGTGAGGTGCTGGTAAATTGACTTTCTGGATAGGGATAGCTTCAATGTGAAGAGTTTGCAGATTTTCATGGTGTAAGCACACCTGCCACAGTCTTTATCAAGATATCAAGTAAGAGGTCAATGAATGTGAGAGTTCGATGTTACAATTAGTTGGGATGAGCTGGTCACCCCCACACACCTCTGCTGAGCCAGGCATTAATTGGGCATGTACTTTTTGCCATCCACTTGACATGTTTGAACTCTTTTAATAAACAGAAGTCTATGAAGCAGAGACTGTTACTATTGAGGTTTAGGAGGGATTAGTTCCTTGCTTACATAACAGAGCCAGAATTTGAATCCAGGTTTGCCATGACCTCAAAGTTAATGTTCTCAACTTTCCTGTCTTGTCATGAGAGTCTTGTAGTAGGTAGAGGTAGGAATGTCTCTGATGATATCAGACAAGGTCATCCCCAAGGTGAGGATCTGCCTTAAGGAGAAAAATGAAGAAACGGATTGATGCACATGTCTATAATTCCTTTTAATCATCTTTAATCCTCGGCATGATAAATTTTTCCCTGTGTCTTTTCATTTTCATGATTATGCACTGTTGAAAGTGGACCTAAATCTGAGCCAGCAAACAAAAATCAGCAACTGTTCATGGCAATCCAACCACATCAAAGCTAGATACATAGTTGAGTTCCTCAGGGTTGGGGGTGGGGAGTAAGGTCATGCTAATGGCCAAACTCCAGGTTTCCACCTTCTGCCAGAAACAGGGGCAACCTAGAAAGCAGGATATATTCTCAAGGTTGAGCAGCAGTGTGCTATTGCGGAGGAGCAGAGACAATGCCCCCTTTAGCTCCCCAAAACCAAGTAAAGGAGTTGTTCCTGCTGAGCCACAGGCAGAAACTTGGGCCCAGAAGCCATGTATTTCAGAGACTTTCACCTGAATGCCCCAAAATCTCTACCAACCATCATGACATAATACAATACTTACATCACTGTTCATAATATATATCCATGCCTACTCAAGGAGTGCTCTACAAGTTTTTTTAAAACATGAAATGTTAATACTTTGTAGATGCTTAAGTGTCGCAAAATGTGGGCAAATATGTACCTTTTAAATCCTACCCATTCTTCAAGAATTGCTGTTCAAGTGGAAAAATCAAGACTTAGAGATTTGGGGCTAGTGCTATGGCACAGCAGGTTAAGCTGCCATCTGCAGTGCTGTCATCCCATTTGGACACCAGTTCGACTCCCAGATGTTTCACTTCCAATCCAGTTCCCTGCTAATGTGCCTGTGAAAGCAGAAGAAGGTGGCTCAAGTCCTTGGACCCCTGCACCCACTTCTGGGGAGACCCAGAGGAAGCTTCTGACTCCTGGGTTCAGCCTCACCCAGCCCCAGACATTTGGAGATGAAAGCTCTCTCTCTCCCTTTCTCTGTAACTCTGCCTTTAAAACAGACAAATAAATCTTAAAAAAATAGAATTAAAAATTTAATTAGCAAAAACCCTCTCTGAAGAAATGCTAGTTTGGACTTGAATTTCCAACATTGAAAACCAACCTTCCTTTCCTTCCCTTTCCCTTTCCCTTTCCCTTTCCCTTTCCCTTTCCCTTTCCTTTCCTTTCCATTTATGTATTTTATTTGGAAGGCAGAGTTACAGGGAGAGAGAGGGACAGACAAATATAGAGAGAGGAAAGTCTTCCAGCCACTGGTTTACTTCCCAAATGGCTGTAACAGCCAGGTCTGTGCCAGGCTGAATCTGGGAGCCAAGAGCTTCTTCCTGTTCTCCCACATGGGTATAGGGTCCCATCCTCTGCTACATTTCCAAGCACGTTAGCAGGGAGCTGAACCAGAAATGGAGCAGTTAGGACATGAACTGGCACTCATATGGGATGGCGGTGCTGCAGGTGGCAGCTTAACCTGCTACACCACAACACTGGCCTCGGAAACTCTCATCTTTGCCCCAGTTGTGGACAGCACTTATCATGGGCATGAAAAGGTTGGAGTCTCCTCCCAGTGAGCCTGCAAATGCCGCTTTGCCCATTTGATGAGTCCCTGGGAGCCCTGTGTTTGCAAGCAGTGAGCTGTTCCAAGCATCTCATTTCTGTTTTTACTGAACCCATTCCAAGGGTCAACATCCATCTCATACCTGGTGACAGAAGTTTGGGGGGAGAGTTGATAATCTAGTCATTGGCAAAATTTTTCATGCTGGCCATGGTATTAACCTTAGATGTGACTGAATCGCAACCACAGAAAACTTGGCATCATGCTCAAAACCTTTGTGGTCTATAATGCCAATGTTTTTAATAGCACATCTATCAAATGTAGGCTTTTTTTAAGGATCTGTTCCTGTTTAAATAAATAGGAAAAGAAAAATGAGTCGCCATAGCTCTGTTGTATAATTTTAGAAAATTGGCATGTGGCAACAGCTGCTAAGAGAGAGAAAATTAGGTGCGGGTTCCTTTATATTCTGGCCTTAAAGGAAGGTCTAGAAGAAGCAGAAATAAAATAGAATTAAAATGAAATTCTTGCAGCAGCTCTAGGCACCAGGAGACAAGACAGATTAGGAAAGAAAAGTGCCCCTTTTTCATGGAACTTACATTTTTATGGGATGGGATGGATATATGGGAACATACAATAAGGAAATAAGTTATAGAGTAGATAATTTTAGATACAAGTGACATTTGAGAGAGATTTTCCTTATGGGGGACCATTTAGATTAGGTGGTAACAGAAGGACTTTCTTGGGAGTTGGATTTGATCTGCGATTCAAAGGATGAGAAACAGGAAGACATATGAATATATGTGTTCTGGAGCAGTGGGAGGAA